TAAATATTCATTTTTTAATATGTTTTGGCAAGACCTTAATTGTTAGAAACAATATTTAAAAAAAATAAAAACTCAATAAATAATTCATTCAACAAACTTTAACTCAGATAAAACTCAATTTTATTCGGCCAATCGTTATCGTAATAATTTAGATCTTCCTATATTTATGAATGGTAATGTACTAGATGAGTCATCTACCATTCATCTTCTAGGATTAACTCTTACTTCTGATCTTTCTTTTAAACCGTATATCAAATCCATTGCAAAATTAGCATCTGCTAAGGTTGCATCTCTTTATCGAGCTCGACACTTTCTTACTCCAGATTCTATTCTCTATCTCTATAAATCTCAAATCCGTCCCTGTATGGAATACTGTTGCCACATCTGGGGCGGATCTTCTAATGATGCTCTTTCTCTTTTAGACAAGGTGCAAAAACGAATTGTAAACATAGTTGGACCTGCTCTGGCAGCCAATCTCCAACCTTTGTCACATCGTCGTAATGTTGCTTCTCTTTCTCTTTTCTACAAATACTATAATGGGCACTGCTCTAAAGAGCTAGCGTCCCTTGTGCCATCTACTAAAATTCATTCTCGTGTTACTCGCCATTCAATTAAGTCTCATCCTTTTTCTGTGACTGTTCCTAAGTGCTTCAAAAACTCTTATTTTTCTAGTTTTTTTCCTCGAACATCAGTTCTTTGGAATTCGCTTCCTTCATCTTGCTTTCCTGATTCATATAATTTGCAATCTTTTAAGTCATCAGTCAATCGTTATCTTGCTTTACAGATTTAGTCTTTTCTCTTGCAGTAACTTCCAACTCTTATAGTGGTTGCTTGCAGCCTTGTTGGAAGTGAAGATGTTAAAAAAAAAAAAAAAAAAAAAAAAAAAAAAAAAAAAAAAAAAAAAAAAAAATCAGTAAACAATAAATGAACAAAGTTTGTGTACAGTAGAAAAAAAACATACATTTTATTCATTTAAAAAAATACAAAAGCCGAGAGCCGCTCAATATTTGGGGTTCCAACTCCACCAAAAAACAGCGGTTCCCTGGCTCCACAGCTCCGGCTCCGGCTTGGTTCCACAAGCCTGGTTTGAACTTCTAATTTTCTTTGACTTTATTTTTATCAAAAAAAATTCTTCAAACATTATGCATTAGAATTTTATTCAACGAAATTGCAAAAATTTAACATAAAGATTATTCAAAGATTAAAAAAAATTGTTATATTTGATCGCTATTTTAGAAAGAAATTTAAATTATTTGTTTACACAAATGTAAACAAATGCAAATACACTTGATTCCTTAATATCAATCCAATATAATAGCTATGAAAAATGTGTTTTATAACTTAGTTAAAAATAATTTTAAACTATTAGAACAGGTTCATGATTCAGAAAAGCATTAATAAAAATGATTATGGTCTGACATGAAACTTTTTATTAAAAAGTGATTTAATCTATTTTTTTAGTACAATTTCAAATGTCCCCGATTTTTATTCAAATGTCCCCGGATTTTATCGAAAATCTCTGGTCAGCCTATAATAATTAAAACGAATTCTCTTAATACAATTAAAAATTTATTATTAGAAATTTTCACTGGATTATGGTTATCAGCATCAACAGCTTGTAAAATTTATAGAAAAATTTTTTTGTAACTTTAGAAACAGTTTAAAGTTAACTGATGTCAGCAGTTGAATGACTCCTTTCTTGGTTACGTAAAAATGTAAAAAATGGAGTCTTAAATTTAGTTTTCACAAACTGCCCGTTATCGAAATTAATTCCGCTATGTATAGGTGAACATTGGAACCTCTGTATTTCAAGAGCTTTGCGCACTTTTTGATCAAATTATTTTTTTTAAACTTTAATTGTTTTTACGTTTTCCCACTTTATTTTTTGTGAGCAAAACTTATTATGGGTGGTTATTGCAGATTGATAATGTTTCCCCTCGTTTAAACTTTTTTGATGTTGTTGAGTTCGAGTCCTAATTTGAAGTTTAGTTTCGCCTACGTATCTCTTTGAACATTTGCATTCAATCAAATAAGTTCCGGGTTGACTATTAGATGGCAATTTAGTTTTGTTTTTTGACATTAGTAATGTTTTTGGATTTGGATTTGATTTGAAGACTGCTCTATAGCTAGCTTTTCGAAATATTTTTCTTAGTTTCGGGGATAGTGATGATATCCATGGTAACGATACAGTAGGAATGTTAAATGAGTCTGGTTGAATTTTGTTGATTTTTAGAGACCGTTTATTTCCAATTAAGTTTCCAAGCAATCTGTTTGAGTTGGCATATGTTGTACCCATTTTCGTTAAACATTTGAATAAGGAAATTAATCTCATCTTGTAAATATAAATTACTGCATAAAGAATAAGTCCTGTGAACGTAACCTTTAAATACTGCATTTAGAATCTTAGGTTCATAATTTGAGTGAGGTTTAATTTGGATATTAGTAATGGCTTCTTTTCTGTAAACCTTAAACCCGTATTTTCCTTTGTTGTTATTTATTATGGTTAAACCAGTAAATTTTGATTTTTTGTGCTGCAAACTTTTGAGCAACAAACAGGCTGATGTTGGTCAAAGATCATTCATGGATCCACTGAAGAGCCTTTTTATCAGCAGCATCATATTTGTTTTGGTCAAATGTTGACCATTCTTTTTGAAATCGTTTGTATAACCCTATATCAGGTCCAGTAATAGCTCCAAGATATGTGGATGCAAATACGCTGGAAAGTATAACTTCAAAAACACGGTGGCAACATGCTATCCACACAAGGTCTTTCTTGAGAGTTTTTTCAATAGTTGTGCAAGCTCCAGATTTCAAGTCAGTGTTTGGCTGTTGTATCAAACACAAGTCCACGTGTTTTGTCTTTGAGATGCCAAATATCCAATAGTTCAAGGCAAACACTAGCTTGCTCCTCACCTGTTCCCCTTATAATTTTGGGAACCCCAAGCAACTTTTTTTCTCCAGCTCCAGAAACTAGGGTTGCAATTCTGTCTAGCTTTACATTTGTCTGGACAATATCTGGTAGGAGTTTTCCATCCCAGTGCTACAAAAGTGGTACCTGGGTTGAATATGATTTTTTGATCCTCCATTGCCTTGGACTTGCGTAAATCCATTCTTGAATGATGGATAGTGCTGCGAGAAACTGGCATGCTATCCAGATCATGTCCAAGGGTTTGAGCAACTGCAGCAATAACATAAGTAGCTTGCCTATCACTCATGTTAACACGGTCAAGTGTGAGGTTTAAGTCTGGAATCAGAATGTTATTCCTTGCCATTTTTGGGGCTGAGTGAGGTAGCCTTGTGGAAATGCTGAAAAGTTCATCATCAGATACAAACTCAGTTTCACAAGTGGAAGAGCTGGAAGAATAATCTGACCGTAGAGTTTAAGCGACCACTTCATGGTTTTTCCTGGCATCTTCAGCATCCCTTTCTTTTTGTTTTAAATGTTTTTCTGCTCGTTTAATTTTTCGGGATTCCTGTTGGACCAAATGCTTATCCATACCCCAAAAACTGGAACTGGAGAGATCCAGTTCCAGTTTTTGGGGTATTGATATTACCAAAGATTTAGACTTGCTCGAAATGCAAGTGCTATAATAATGTTGTTTGTTTATGCTCTTACCATCAAAATGTAAGCACCAGATTTCTTCAGAAGAGTCTGTATAAGGCCGAATCAAGCTTAATTCATGCACAAGTGTTGTAAATGCTTTTTGGACTGCCGATCTGCAAATCGATGTCTCACCAATGGCATCGAGTACAACTTACTAGATACCCTTCATTTTCAGATATCTGAGCTACCATTTTACCGGTGATCTTTGCACGCCTAAATGGGATTGTATAATCCCATTTAGATGTGCACTTCTACTATTATCTTTTGAACTTTCACTACTAGAATTCTCTGTATCATCAAAAGATTGGCTATAATTTGCTTCAAGTTCTTTTTTTTTAGGTGGCAGATCTTGCGGATGTTTTGTAATAGGCTCTGTCACAATACTGCACTGACCTTTGCACCCATTGGAAGATTTCTGAAGTTCATAAAAGAGTTTGTCTTCCAGATATTTAAATTTATCATTTTTGGGCAATAAGTCAAACAATTTATCCCAGCTATTTATAGTAATTGTCTTTTTATATGTACTTTGTGAAGATTTGATAACAAATTTATAATTATGAGTAGCAGGCTTCATATTTCTTTGCTCAGATTTTTCCGTAAAACATGGTATTGTCATTTATTCCATAATTGACAAACTTCAATTGAGATTTCTTTGATAACATCACTTGATCTTGGAATGTTACCCAGTTCTATAAGATATAAAAAATGATATCTTCCTAGCATCTGTCTTGTCTTACATAATTTTGAAAAATCCATCAGTGACTTTTCAATCACCTAATATTAAACCGCCTAGTATTAATTACTGGTTCATTAATGAGTTAATTAGTAACTACCATGATTTAATTGAAAAATACAAACCTAATGGGCGATCAATTTGTCCAATTAAATAATTTTCTGATATCTTATAATACAGATTATATTTAAATATATACAATAATAGTTAACCATTGTTCAACTATTATATATTGTTTAATAAACAATATGATTTATTTAAGCTAATTTTCAAACTTTGAGACTGAAAATACTTTAAGTTGGATTTGCGATTTATTTTTATGTTTTTGTGAGTTTTAGGTAATTACTCTACCGATAGTTATAGGGCTGTCACTTAAAAAAAATTCCTACCCCTAATATATATATATATATATATATATATATATATATATATATATATATATATATATATATATATATATATATATATATATATATGTATGTATGTATGTATATATATATATGTATATATATATATATATATATATATATATATATATATATATATACATTTATATATATATACATTTATATATATACATTTATATATATACATTTATATCCATACATTTATATATATACATTTATATCCATACATTTATATATATACATTTATATATATGCATTTATATATATATATATATATATATATATATATATATATATATATATATATATATATATATATATATATATATATATATATATATATATATATATATATATATATATATACATTTATATATATACATTTATATATATACATTTATATAAATACATTTATATATATACATTTATATATATACATTTATATCTATACATTTATATATATACATTTATATATATGCATTTATATATATGCATTTATATATATGTATATATATATATATATATATATATACATATATATATATATATATATATATATATATATATATATATATATATATATATATATATATATATATATATTATATATATATATATATATATATATATATATATATATATATATATATATATATATATATATATATATATACATTTATTTTTCTGATAGTTAATCTAGACAAAGAATAATTAAATTTGATATTGTTTTTTGTTGTAATAAATGGATTTTAAACAAAAATATATGCTTGTTTTTTTGTTTTTTTTTTGCAGATTATTATTTTGGTTGTCCTATCGCAAAGATTTGTGAGAGAGAAGACACGCTTGTACCAAAACTTGTTGTACAACTTATTAATGAAGTTGAAAAGCGAGGTGATGTATTGTTTAAGATATGCATACATACATGCATACATACATACATACATACATACATACATACATACATACATACATACATACATACATACATACATACATACATACATACATACATGAATGTATGTATGTATGTATGTATGTATGTATGTATGTATGTATGTATGTATGTATGTATTGTTCAACAGTATATATAGTATGATTTATACTATCATATTATTTATTTTATGTTGTTTATATTTATTCTCAACTAATATACGCCATTATCGAACTGATAATAATTATAAAACTATTGCAAATACATATTTGCATTAGTTTTCTAATTATTATAAAAAAAATGGTACAACTACACTGTAATATGTTCAGACTTTATTTGAACATTTAGTTAAACAAAAAATGGTCTTCAATGAGTCATTATACAATGAGCCATGTCATTTATAATATTCTTATGAGATCTTAGGCCTTCTAAATGCTCTATTTCAATCACTTCTTGAACTTTATGCATATAGTTTTGGATTTAAGCAAGTAGTTTGATTTAGTACATTTAACTGTACCACCACAATGTTGCATGTACCACCACAATATTGCATGTGTTGAAAATTACATGATGCATCTTAATTGCCCTAAATTACATTCTTTTTATGCATGTAGATGTTTTTATCCTTGTTTCATCTGTGTAACTCACCACATGTGTTACCTAATTAATAAAAACCCTGTGTAACTACTTGTATTCAATTTGTATTTATTTTTAATACACAATTTATTACACATTAAATAAAAAGTTACCAAAGTAGAAAATGGTTTTTATACCCACTTTATGAAACCCTCTTTAAGGCATAAGATTTGGTTTCAATATCTGCAACAGTATATGATATTTTTAGGGTCAATTTTGTTGATTATCTATTTTATTGTTAATATTTTTAATTTTTTGTTTTAATTGTAATAGTTTATATATTACATACATTCATGTATACATACATACATACATATATACATACACACACATACATACATACATACATACATACATACATACATACATACATACATACATACATACATACATACATACATACATACATACATACATACATACATACCTACCTACCTACCTACATACATACATACATACATACATACATACATACATACATACATACATACATACATACATACATACATACATACATACATACATACATACATACATACATACATACATATGGTTTATAGATAAAAAATACGTTTAAATAATTTGACTGCTAAAAAAATTCAAACCAATTTTCCTTTAACATTATTTACAGCAATGTTTTTTTGATATTTTTTTCTATTATCTGGTCAAAGAAGAATAAAAAATATTTTTTTGGTGCCAATTAATAGTTTTTTACAATGTTTATCCTAAAACCATTCTTTTCATAAAAAAAGTTTTTGTAATTGCATTATACTTGAATTTTTTTATATGCCTCACTTTTGCACTTTTAGTAAAATAAAATTGTGAAAAAACTTTATTAAAAAATTATTACTCTTTTTTTTTTTCGTTCAGGACTTGATGTGGATGGCATTTACAGAGTATCTGGAAATCTTTCAATGATTCAAAAGTTAAGAGTGATGGTTGATCATGGTAATTTAACATAAATAATGATGATTTATTTTATTTAAAAATATTAAACAATATAAATTTCTAAGAAAAAATAAATTCAAATGAATTTAAATAATTAGATATTTCAACTATATTTTAGGTGAAGCAATCGATTACCAGCAACATCAATGGAATGATATCCATCTACTTACAGGTGCTCTTAAACTATACTTTCGAGAACTGCCAGAACCATTAATTCCGTTTAATATGTTTGAAAAGTTCATCACTGTTACTAGTTAGTATATATTTAGTTTAATTTAATTTCTGTTTATTAATTTTTATATATTTAATATATATTTAGTTTAATTTTTTTTTTTGTTTGCTTATCTTTTAAAGGGTTGTCCATAAAGTATGTATGCTCAAAGAGGAAAGGGAGGGGGAATTATTAATTTTTTTTTGCAAATAGCTTACAAAAGCATATGGGGGAGGAGGTAAGGGTTTGATTTTAAAGTAAGTACACAATAATTTTAAAAAAGATTCCTACTTAATGTTTGTTTTCCTAATTTATCACAGTTACAAGTGCTTGTTAATAACTAAATGTTTTTGAATAAACAACAGTTTTTATTAAAAAAAAAACTTGACCTTCACTATAAAATGACTGTTGGGGGGATGGGTGGATGAAAAAAAATAGAATGTCATTGATGTTTATAATTTGCCAGCTGTCTAATATAAAAAAGTTACAATCATTTGTACATATATTGCATGATATAAGTTTTTTAGCATGACATCTAGTATTGTAGTGAGAGTTGGAAAAGGTAAAGAGATTGAAAAAAAGTTAAAGAGATATACCATAACAAGATCAAATTTAACTCTACGGTATTCAAGAGATTGAGATTTAGAAGAATTAGTCTCGATACATAATCAGAATAAGAAATATGGCATCATTTACAGGTAATTCTGCTGAAATATCTCTGGACAATTTTTGATACAACAAATATTTTTTAAAAGATAAGGGCTCCACACTGGCGTACAAGACTCTAAAATAGGTAAACTGTATTGATGATATTGGTATTACTGTATCAGATGATACAGTAATACCAATATCATCAATACAGTTAACAGTATTATTGCGGTGTCAGGACAAAATGAAAACAAGGGAACAGGTAAAGAACACTTCCCCAAGTGTATATGGAAACATTTATTGAACGCTATTTTCAGTTGCCAATTAGTTGTCCAATCGGAAAAGGTTTTTAAGAATATTACAAGGTCTGCATTAATGCTTACGCTTTTATCTCTCTCTTGGTATAATTTGATATCATCTGCAAACAGCTTAATTCCACAGTTACCCTCAATAATCGAGATTATATCGTAGATATTGAGATTATATCGTTGATAAATATTAAAAATAAAGTGGGAGCCAATACAATACTTTGAGGTATTCCACTCTAGAGATACTTAATTTGAGTAAGAGTTACTAATGCAAACAGATTGGATTGGTCAGTTAAAATATTTGTAATTCAGTATAGCAGTTCATGCTTAATGCCGTAAGATTTCACTTTGTGCAATAATTTGGGATGTGAGTCCAAAGCCTTTTCGAAATCAATATAGATAATATCCACTACCTTAAGCTAGTTAACAGCCGTGGTCCATTCATGAAGACCAAAGCCTTTAGAGTCATCCAAAAGTACAGGTAGATTTGCAAAAAGCATACAAAAATTAATGCCAAGAAGGGATCAGTAATAAAGTATGTATGCTTTAATTTAATTTCCTAATTTTTTTTTTTTTTTTTAATTTCAACTATTTGAATGATTAAAAAGGAGGGGTTTAAAATTTAAAAGTACACATGGCAACAAAGGAAGGTAGGTGGTCAAATTTTAAAATTTTTGGCGTACATACTGTATGGACAACCCCTAAATATATCCATTAAAATGTTTGAGCAATTTTATATTATAATAGAATTAGTAATATAAATGAAAAATGATTTAATTGTGTTTAAAATACAGAGAGTTTAAAATACTAAAAGTTTAAAATATCTAGAGTTTAAATACAGATGTTATACCAGTATTGAAATTATTCAGTACTAAAATATCAGTATTAAAAATAATATCAGTGTTGGATGCACTAATGGAAAACAATTGAAAAAGAATCTAAAATTTAATTTTTTATAACTTAAAAGAAAAGTCAATTTTTATTTGGTTGTTAATAAATGTTTATTTATATTTTATATATATTGTATATGTTTGTTTAATTTATTAATATTTTTTTGTTTCAGAAAGTCCTTTCAAAGGTGAAAAAACATCGATGATCAAAAAACTAATCTTAGAAATGCCAAAAGAAAACGCTGAAACACTTCATCTATTAATTATTCATTTAAAAAAGTAAGCTGTGTTTCCAATTTTTACTTTAAAATGAAATTAAAATAACAACCTTCATTTTTAAAGTTGTTACCAAATTTCATAACAATTAATGTAATAAATATTTGCTATTTTTTATATGCTATAGCATAGTAAAAATATAATATAAATATAATTTAAATGATAGTTATATACTATATAATAAAACTATACTATTAAATACAGAAGTGTATTCAATAGCAAAACGGTAGAGAGCAGTGATTATGGTTAATGGTCAAGTTTCATTTGGTTCATTTATTCAGTTGTAAAACATCACTTTAACTTTTTCATAATGCCATATTTAAATAAGAAAATTACATTTTAAAAACCCATTCAAACCATGCAATATTGCAAGATTAGAAGTACTAATTAACGTCAAAGTTAAAAAAACATGCATTTGGTTTTAAAACTTAATGGATTAACTTAATGCATTCTACACAAGTTGTGTTAAAAAACATATCTTGGTCTAATAAATAAGTAGTTTTTAGTTAATTAAAATATATCATGACTTTCCGTATCAAGTTCTTTACTTGTGTTGATTGAGTTAAGGTGTTGTATTAGTTGTGTTTCTGTAATCTTATTTCTTTATAACCTCAAGTCAAAAAATACAACAACAACTAATGCTGCTGTATTTGGAATAAACATGAAAACATGAAGATAGGAGAGAGTTTGTTAAGGGTTGAAGTGCAGGGAAAAAAACTAGATAAAAAAGTTTTTAAAGCACGCAGAGGCAGGTACAGTAAAAGGATGAGACTTTGCTGAATGACGAGTCAAGTGAGAATAAGTTATGGTTAATGTAACTAGTGAAGATAGCTCCTTTTATCAGCAACCATAATAGTATTTATAAAAAAGAGAAAGAGATGCAACTTTATGACGGTAGGAGATTGGCTCAAGCTTGGCAAATAGAGTAGGTCCAACTATGTTTACTAAACGTTTTTAGACCTTGTCTAGAAAAAAAAGATCATTAGAAAAACCTAATATGACAACTGTATTCCATAGAAGAACAAATAAGAAAAACTATCCATAGAAGAAAAAACGAAGAAAGAAAGATTTGGAGAGTTAGAGAATGGAATCATGAGTAAGAAAATGGAAAACATGATAAAGAGAAGCAATTTTAGCAGATGCTAACTTAGCAATCAATTGTATATATTGTTTCCATGATAGGTCAGTTGTGAACGATCCAAGAAGATGTAAAGAAGAGGACTCAGTGAGAGATTTGTCATTCATCAATATAGGAATGTTGACAGTATTGTGATAGTTGTTTTCAGTAAAAACTAATAATTAGCTAGGGTCAGAGACAAGACACAAATCAAGGAGTGAAGGTAAATGAGTCACAAAATTAATTACCTGAGTATGAGATGACACTGATACAAATAATTTAAAAGATGACACAAAAGTGTCATCTCTTAAATTATTTGGCTCTAACACCAATGACTCTACCAGCAGGTTCAGTGGTGTTAGAGTCAAACCATTTAGTGTGATGGGCAATAAATTCACCAATAACAACAATAAATTAGAGGGGTAAAAAGAAGGCGCATAGTCAATTTGATCAAAAATTATATATAAAAGAGTGCAGTCTTGAGATGAAGGAGAACGATATAGAACAAAAAGAAAAACAATAGAGTGAAGAGGTGCTAAGCGGAAGCACATAAAAGAATTATCAAAGGATTCAAACCTGATTTCTTGATAAATAGGTTAATTGATGCTTAAGTATATCTACAACCCAAGCATGTGACTATTGGAGTTTTTGCAAATCAAAGGATAGTAGCCGTTGTTTCTGAAATCAGAAAAAGGAGCACACAAATTAAAATTAGTCTCAAAAAGAACAAGCATGTCTGGTGAATTTAGCAAGAGTTAAGATTCAGCTGCTGTAAACTTACTTTGAAGATCACAAATTTTGAAATAAAGATATATTGAAGGAGTGAGGTGATGGGGATGGTTTTTTATGTTTAATTTTTTTGGTTACTTGGGGCATGATTTAAGATTAAAGAGCACTTGACTCAATTATAGATGCAATGAGCTATGCAGTTGTTTTAGTCCTGCTAAATAACCCAAAATCATAACTTAGGGCTCCTTTTGTGACCGCGATAATGCACACCAAAAGAATTAACAGGGACACCATTCATGCACATCATGACACTGTTAATACTCTAATATTTTATGGCTGTTGATGAAATCAGCCTCTCTGAGAGCTACCACAAAGTTCAGAAAACCTTTCTACCAGCCGGCTTCAGAATCAATTAACTGAGTTTTTGAGCTGCACTCTTATTAAGAATAACAGGAAAAATTGCATAACCACTATTAAGGAGGCACAAGCAAAAACCTAATCTGTAAAGTCAAGAAGATTCATTCATCATCCTAGGCAAGAAACAATCTAATACAGGTTTACATCTACGCCAGCCTAATACATAAAGAAGCGGGTTCGAAGTTGGTCAACAGAATAATTCAGCTTACCCCTAAAGTCTTTTTAAAGATTTTATCGAGATAAGTATTTTTATCGTAATACTATGTCTAGCCAACCAAGAGCTTTTACTTAACTGTTAACTTTAAACTTATCTGTTACCAATAATTTAGCGGTGTACCAGACACCACTAAAGTTACTTAATTGAACTTGGTAGAAATTTTTTTTTTTTGCATTGCGTAACAAATTACTACTTTTAGCTATATTTTTATAAATAATTTTTAAATAGGGTTATGAAGCATAGTGCTACAAATCGAATGCAATCTCAAAATTTAAGCATCATATTTGGACCAACTCTTTTATGGCCTGAGCATGAAGGCTTGGATATGACGACGACTACAGTGTATCAAAGTCTGATAATTGAATTACTTCTTCTCGATTGTGACAATATATTTAGTGTTTTATAGAATAAAATATTTAATTAATGTCGAAAAGAATTTTATTTTGGTCGGAATTCATATAATACGCTTACAGTTAGTATATACGGTTGGTAATCAGTTAGACCAACTAATGTATTATCGTGGTCTAACGTTACCAGATTTCATGTATATTTAATATTTTGTAAATTATGTACAGATTTTTTAAAATATGCTTTATGAATTTGATTTATGGGAGAATATATTGTCTTAACAACGAAGCACACGTTTAAAAAACATATATGCATATACGCTGTCGTTTATATATGTTTGTCTATATAATATATATATATATATATATATATATATATATATATATATATATATATATATATATATATATATATATATATATATATATATATATATATATATATTACATAGTCTGTGTATGTTGTTTAATACAAATTTATTGTAAGGTTAATTTTTATCTTTTTTTAATGTCTTGTATACTTTTTTTATGCTTTTTTGTAACAAGTTTTTTTTTCTGTAAGATTTCAAGAAAAGTTTAAATTTAAAAAAAAACTCTCCCTAATTTTTTAAAAATTTTCGTTTCTTGTTTCGTTTTTTATTCTTTCGGTTTGTGTGCTTTGTGTTCGTTTGTTTTTGTTTTTTGCTTTCTATTTTTTATTTTACTTGGAATTTTAGAGAGTTTAGTAGAATTTAGTGTTTAATTTTATTCAATATTTATAATTTTTTTTTCCTTGCCTTTTTCTTTTTGCTTTTCTATTTTATAATTTTCTGAGTTTTTCCTAATTGATATTAGTATACCTAAAATAAATTTTCTTTGCGACAAAAAGAGTTTGTTGTAAATAAATTATCGAATATTATCTTTCGTTTTCTTTAAATCTTTTCTACGTATTGCATCTCCGCATACTTGGCTCAACATGCAAACATCGCTACAACTGTGATAATGAGTTAAGGTCCGTTTCCACTCATCCGTTTTTTTACGGGAACGAGAAAAGGAAACGTAATCAGGTAAGCATGCCTTGTAGAAACCGTCTTTTCTCGTTTCCATAGAAATACGGATGAGTGAAAACTGACCTTTAAAAAATAGTTATGCAAAAGTTATATAATTTATGCAGACGTTGTTAATTCTAGGATTAAAACACATAACCCGAAAATCGCGATGCTAGAGTTATATTGTTCCATCCCGACTTTTTGAAAAATTTAAGTTACTGATAGTGTTATAAAACCTCAGAACAATTTTTTTCTACTGTATTGAAATAGTTAAAAGTAAAAAAGTTGCGGACAAAACATAAGTTGTAAAAATGTTTTCATATGCCGTCTCCTTAAGTTTTTTTCAAATCGTTTAAAAAATTAAAACTTTAGGAGACGGCTTTCTCAAAGAACTAGATAATTCTAACGTCACAGAGTGTTAATAAAAATGATGATAGATAATAGAATTAAGCAGAGCAGTAAAAAAATTATCCAAGAAAAGATTTTGAATGACTCTTGTTATTGTATTGGCTTTGAAATCTAAATTAGGTTTAAAGGGTACTCTAGTTTATCTAACTATAAAACAAACACGGTGCAACAATAAAATTGACAATTAATATTTTAAAAAATCAATCATTGATTTCTTCTATTGATATTCTTCTTTTTCTTTCCCTACTATGTCTGGTTTAGTATCTCGTTCGTGATATGAGGTGGGTAAATTTTCATAGAATCTATGAAAAATTTTGGAAAATAAAGGAAAAAGATGAATCAAATCAATTTTCTTTTCTTTTTAAATGGACAAAAATTTGACTGGATGTAATTGGAATAATCGACATGGTGCCTGATCCTCTTTTTTTATGTTCAGTGATTTAAAAGCTAAATTTATATGTAAAGCGTCTTTAAATAAAATAACTCTAAAGTCACTTTCGTACAGCAACCTTTGTTTTTCTGAACATTTAGTCTGCTCGCCCAACTGTATTTTTGTTTCTTAAAATAGCTAGTTTTTTAATAATATAAAAAAATCTTGTTACTTCATTTCAAACAATTTTTCTTTTCGATGATACTATGATCTGTGTCTAATTCTAAATTACTGTGTTCATGTATCATGATTATGCGATCGATCCTAACGAGTTGTAAGTTTTGCATTGTGCAAGTAAACACGGCTGTTACATTGGAATTTGAATTTCGTCCTAAATTTGTATCGCAATAGAAAATGATAAATTTTAAAAAAGTCGGGATGATTGTCTGTAAATGCTTGTACAAGCAGAAATATATTTAATTTGCAACTCTGGCGGCATCTGTTTCGTACCAAATGTAACAAATAGCCTTTCCTGTTTAATTGTCTTGTTTAGTGACGTTGTACGTCCAAAGCTGATGTTTATAAAATGCGACTGAAGAATTTAACACTGGAGTTATGAAACACTGTTGAAAATCAAATGTGAATGTTTGTACAGATGCCTTATTCTTGCTAAGCTGAGTGTCAATTTTTTTCTTGCTGTAAGCCTCATCTGTTAGCATTTTATGATGTCCATGTTGGGATATTATGTATTTCTTTTCGGCTAATTGAGTTTGCCTTACAAGTTTATCACGCGTATAACATCTTTAAAAATCAACATCCATAAAAATTTATAGTCAAGAATCTCATAAATTAGTTTTAGCATTTAAAAAAAGAATCTCATAATTTAATTTTTAATTAAAGAATCTCATAATTTAATTTTAGCATTCTACTATAAGTTTTTTTAAATGCTAAAATTAATTTATAGAAGTAGAGTTAACATTCACAGGTAGTTCGAAAATTGGATCTTGAACATTGTCATTTTTTCAAAACAAAACAAAAAAGTCAGATTCTTTGGTAAAATCTTGAAAACAATTTCCCACTTGGCTCATTGATTATATGTTGAGATTCTTCCGTACATAGAATGGCATCCACTTGATTCTCATGCGCATAAAATTCTATTTAGGAACAATACATAAATTAATTTCATTAATGATATACCTAAAAAGTATATAATATCTTTGTATAAAGTGTATAGTATCTTTGTAAAAAAAATATTGATATGCAATAAAATTCATCGTTTTTATTTTGACTTCGATTTTCATTACGTAGTAGCGATAATTTCATTTCTTTTTTATCTATTTACACCCATTTTTTCTTTTTTAATTATTTTGTAAATACAATTGTAGAAGAAATTGCGTTAATCTTCTCTCTCAAAAGCACGACAAAAAAAAACTGTATTAGTTTTATTAGGTCATTATAAGAGTAAAGTTTAAACATGTTTCCCTTAATTATGCAGGCTAAAACCTGCAAGTGATTCCGTCTTTTTAACATAAATCAGTTAATAATAATATTTGGGGTTATTTGTAATATATATTCAGAGTCGCTCAGAGCCGTCAGGCCACCTGGGATAGCAACCACAAACAATCATTACAGTCACCATCTTTAAACAGTTTTATTATGCTTAACATTGTCTTGCTCATAAAAGCATCATTTTTTGGGTCTTCTAAAATATTATCCAAAACTTATTTTTGCCAAGTTTTAACATTTTTCTTACAGGCTTGTTTTTTTTAATAAATTACTTAACTTACTTTAACTTAAATTATTTAGCTTGTTTTTTTTAACAAATGATCTCTTGCTTTATTATGCCACTTACATGTAAAACATGAAAACGTGGTAAATCATTTCTGTCAATCAAGGAGCATGGAGGCAACTTATAGTTCTCTACATAGCATCTAACCGTTTAACTTTCCCCAAGTTTTTGTGGGAACATTGGAACTTACCAGTACTATGTTTTACTTAATTCAAAAATGAACTGCAAACGTTGTTATCCTAGCTAAGATGGTTTATGGGTAGAAAGTTCCGGTTTGTATTTTACTGGCCAATAAGCTAAAATAAACATAGAATAAATTATTACTTACTAATTTTCGGAATTCTAACCATAAGCATCATTGGTGTAAAAATAAGAATTTTTACACCAATGATGCTTTTTTTTGCTTTTTTAGTATAACGAGTATTGTAGATTTGTTTTATTTTTTCTCTTTTTTACTATTTATTTCTTTCGCAATGTTTCTTTTTATTTTTGACTCAAGCATAACATAAGTTGTGAAAAACCCAATATCTTGAAATATAGTAGAAATTTACAACAAAGTTTACTTTTTTTACAAATCAGTATTGTTTCAGTAATATTTTCTAACTGCTTAGTTAAAAAGTATCACAGTTAAGTTACCACATAAATAACAAAACGTTTTAAGAGAGTTTTGTTTTATTAAAAGTACATTGGTTAAATACTGGATTAACTGAGAGAAATCTTTTAAAAACGTTGTCATCAAAATTACGGTAATAATTAAACTTTTTTATATGTAATATATATATCGTTGTTCATAAACTTTCCGGTGGGAAATGAGCTAGCAACTAGCGGGCGACTAGTGATTTTCAAGCAATTTTTTGTTCTTATTTTATTTTTTCCTATAGGAAAAAACATAACGCTAAAATAACGGTTACATAACGGTAGTTGAAAATTTTGGCGTTATGTTCACCGTTATGTTAGCGTTATGTTGAGTTTAAAGATTTTTTAAGACATTACAATGTCTTTAGGAGCGACTTTCTGTAAGAATCAGACAAAAACACCAAATTTTTAAAGTAACCTCTTTCAAAATCTCTAATTTTTTAATATGTTGTTGCTATTTACACTAGAATCTCAATTCTAAAATTTTTTCAAAAAATATTAATTGGTTCTCTAGATATTAGATGTCAAAGTTTGACTGAATTTTTCGAAATATTGACCAAATGGTGATAAAGGCATGTTTAAACTCGAAAAAAAAAACAAAGTAAATACTTTACAATAAATAATTTTCTTGACTATTGTTTATTGGCTAGTTCAGACCAAAAATTAATAAAATTGGTAAAGAAATTTTTTTTCCTTGACTAAATATCATGCTTCAAAATATGCAAAAAACGATTTTTTTGTCATTTTTGATCGTCGTTTTCATTCGAAGCCGCGAATATCCCATAATTTTTTATTTTTATTTTAAATCTTTACCTAGTTAAGTACCTAAAAGTGAAAAAACATCTATGGG